ATACGCCACGGGGGTAGGGGGTGGGTAACCAGCCAAACTCCTCGAACCCACGGATCAAAACGCGCAGGCCAGCTTCCCCAGCAAAAGTGAAGGGTGTGTTGAGATTGTATTGTCGGGAGCATTGATGCTTTACTCGCGCTGGTTGTTGTTGGAGGGCACCGCTCGCTTGCCGTCCGGTTAGGTTAGACTGGAGGCTTCGATGCTTGCCGAGGCCCTTTCGAAGCATCTGAAATCCAGGGCACTAGCGTGCTTGCGCGCTGAATCCGCAGCAGCTCACAATTTCAGAGGCCCCTCCCCTCGAGTTTTGAGTTTGAAGACGCTTGGGAGAGCAGTGAGGGCACTGTTGGACGCAAGATCATCGAAGCCTTTGTTGAGGCCTACCGGGAAGCAAGCCTGAAGCTAAAGTTTGCATCAACAAAAGTAACAGCTTACAAGATCTTTTTAAGCTTATCGAAACCTTTCACGAGATCCGTCATGGCTTTTTTAATTTTGAGTATAGAGTAAAAAGGGACCTGGAGCCAGCCGGAGCCGAAAATTGTACATGTATTGAAGACAGGCAGCGCCGGGCTTCAGAGGCCTCGTGGGGACTTCTTGGCAGGTCCCCCGAAGCCTCGTAATCTTGCAAGCTGCAGCGGTTTTGGCATTTTGTCGAGGCCTCGCGAGGCTCGGGAGGTCTCGGAAGGCTTCGAAACCGCACAGGCGAGCCTTCGGGAAACCTTTCGATGTTGCATAAATGTTTGAGAAAAAAAGTGCAGCTTGTGCGACTCCACGTACGGGGTCGACAAAACCAGGCAATTCTGGCTTCGCTTGACTGGGCCTCCTCTGTTGTCGCGTTTCTTCTCCAGCTTGTCCGGTCTTCCTTGAAACGGCCAGGTCAGGGGTAGGCTGGCTTAGCCAGCCCCAAGGGCAGGCCTAGCCAGGCCCAGCGCTAGTGGGGTTGTCCTAGGCGTAGCAGCGAAGGCCAAGGGCCAGACCCGGGAAAAACTAAGGGCCTGGAAAGGGTATCTTCTAATTGAAGATTCGCATAGGTGTAGGCCTGGGGGCTAGGCTAGGGATAGGCCTGAGGCAGCAGTAGCAGTCGTCGTGGCGGCAGTTTTCAGCAGAACCGAACTTGATGGCAAACTCGCTGAGTTTCAATCCATTTCGGGTTCCGCCCAAGCCACCACTAGGTAGCCAGAACATAGTTACTTTGTCAAGTGTGCTGTTTCAATGCTGTTTGACAGTTTGATTTTTTCTCTCCAAACAAGCAAAGTAGTCGATGCGTGTGGAATTTGGTTTGTTGTGGTCTTTGGCGCCGCCCAGTTGCATTTTTCAAGTCAAGTTGTGTTTTTCATTTTGGTGCTTCAAAGCACCCAGAAGTTGTAAACAACACTAGCAAGCAGTGTTCTAGTGCTAGGTCTGCGGATTCGCAAATCACGAAAGCTCCCCCGCAGGCACCTCACAACGTCAGCCTGGGATTCTAGCGGGTCTGGGGTGGTGCGGGAGGTAATGGGGGACTTTCAGGCCATCTTCGAGGTGCAGGTCCTCATGGCCTTGGAGCAAGCCGCATCGCCTCACCGACTGAAGCTGCGGGTTCCACGCTGCATCGCCTACAAGGAGCCTGGGAAAGCCTTTGATGGTCTGAGGGATGTGGCGGCTCTGCGGCAGGGCAGGCAGGAAGGTCAGGCGCCCTGGCCCGGTGTCAGGTGAACGTCTGTTCTGGTGGCTGGAAGGTGCGGACTGCGATGACGCTGGTGCCCGGACAGTCTCTGGACTATTTTTTGAGGCCGAAGTGCCCAAGAGTTATTTGATTATCTCACCCGGAAACGAGAAGACCTGATCAGGCAGAAGCCTCCTCCCGGCTGCACCGTCTCGACCGGCCTGCGCAGAGCGCTGAGCCTCTCGGATCCTGTGGGTCTATAGTTGGGAAAGGGCTCAGGCCGCGGGGGTCTGTAGGGCTACAACTAGTAGGCTTCGAGGCGAAGGGCCCAGCTGAGAGGCTTGGTGTCTTGTCTCTTGCGGGACATCGGCCCGGCGCTCCAACTGCTGGGTCCGATTGCCTGGCACCGGGAGCCTTGGAGGCACTGGGACCTCCTCGGCCTCGGCCTGGGCCAAGCGCTTAAAACAGCAGCCAAGGACGTGAATTCTCACAACATTCTAATCGATGCCAGTGCCGACGATTCCAACATCGCGGCCAATGCTTCCTTCTGGCTCATCGATTTTGGCTTGGCGGTAGACTCCCAAAGCTGGGTCTCGGAGCAGGGTAGATGGAGGATCCAACATGGGCCGTAAAAGCCGCACACACCATCGAGCATGAAACGATGATGAAGCTTTTCTGCAGGACAGAGTATATCGGAGGCGACAGCCGATACTGGCCTCCCAGTTCCTGGATCATGCACCTTGTGGGTCCGGAGGGCTTCGACCACCGCCCGGATCTTTGCGATCAATACCAGCCTGGGGCCCAATGAAGGACGAGATAGACCTAGACTCCTAGACGGGCCACTGAGCCACGACGAGGCGTCGTCTCGACATCCACGGTTTGGGCGTCACGGCCCTGGAGCCTTGGCCAGTCGAAAAGATAAAGGTTGTGTGTTCGAAGCGGGTGGAGACATTTGTTGTACTAGGATTTGTTGGGAACGAGGCCGAGATCTAAGTGCCGCGCCTCATGCTGTGATGAACAGCATGTTCACTGCTCCAGTTGGCGGAAACGGTGGAACCTGAAGATTAGGACCCACTGACCCACTTTAAAACAGCTCACATGGGCTGGTCTATGCTGGTCTTACCCAGGAGTTGCTTTGCACCGTGGCCATGGCCTGCCCATTGGCTGATGAGGCCGAGGACTGACTTGACGACAGCTCACCCCAGCCTGAGCCTGAGCCTTGAAGAGTCGCCGCGGGAGACCTTGTGAGGAGCAGGCGCTGCAGCCGTGGGCTCCGATCTTCCACGCCTGGACTTGCTACCGCGAGGCATTGGGACATCTTTGCCTCCCTGTTGTCCGGAGACTGAGCTCGCAAGGCCGTCTGGCAATGGTGGGCGACTGTTTATGCCGTCTTCTCCGTTGGTGGAGATCTTGCCCCTGTGCAAGCACAGCTCGTGGAGGTGGGTTTTGCCTTAGCGCGATGTCCAGCAGAACATGATATCGGCTCGAGCCGTGCATGCTCAGAGCGCTGCCGTTCCTCCGACAGTGTTGCACAGGAGAGAATCGTGGAGCAGCTGCTGCTTCTCCTGACACGCATCCGCATTGCCCTGCGAAGCTGTGCCGCGCAGCTTGCGGACTCGCAACAAGCACGACTTCTGCAAATGATTGCTGACATGCTTGACGAAGGGCATCTTGATAGCATGAATCAAGCAGCAATTTTCGGGTTCATCACATACTCATACCATCCGGAAGCAATCGTACCGATGAGGAAAGCCTTCGAACTGCGCGACATCCAGAGGCAGAGCTTTCTTCTTGCGCGTGTTGTTTTGCATCGCTGTGCCCCTGGCATGGCTCGTCAGGCTCGTCGGCGGCCCGAAGATCGAGTGCCCCCGTCGGAGCAGTTCCATGGTCTCGAAGGAGAAAAAGGCGGAACAGACGCAGCCGCAGCGCTTCTGCAGCGTCCCGACCAAGGGCCGCCAGGCCCGGCGCCGCGCCATGCCGTCGGGTTTGCGGGGATGGGCCCAGCTGCGCCTAGCTCGCGTCAGGCACGAAACGGCACTGCCGTCGTGGCAACCATGGCCGCCTGCCCAGATATGAAGTCAGTGGGAGAGGTGAGCAGCAGTTGGCTTGGACCCAGGCTGGCATAGAAAAGTCGAGACGCGCCAACGCCAACGGTCAGGATGTCCTGGGCCAAAGCTCCCGGACCACTCAGGCATCCCAAATCAGGAGCGGGGAGACAGCTTACAGATCGGAGCAGGAAGTCTCAAGGGCAGCCTTGATGAAGCTACAGGACGCCGGTAACGGACACTGTGGCCAGCTGGCAATCTCAAGCTGATGCGGTGATGGCCCGAATGGCCAGTTCAGAACTGAGACTAACTAACAACTGGGGCATAAGACGTCGCACATCTCCATAGTCTGAACCCCTGCGCCTCCGTTCCTTGCGGCGCCAAGGTCTCAAGGCCCGCTTCCAGGCGCCGAACGGTGCGAAGGCCCTCGACCAGAAGCTGGCGCAGTTCCGACGGAGCACCGTGCAGAAGGCCGGGCCCCGCTCAGCATCGCTCAGCCTCGCTTTCTTCGACTTCGGAGGCCAAGCAGCGGCTCCAGTGCCTTGCAGCGACGACGCTGCGAGCAGAGACGTAGAGGCTCACGTCTCACGGACCCTCAGCCCTCAGCTGTACTTCCTGCATCTTTTCCTTCCAGGACTGAGCATAGCCGGCTCAGATGGAGCCAGTTGGCTCTCAAGTGTCTTTCAAGATAATGCCGCTAGCCGTGCCGGAACCTGTACAGCACGCGGTCGGCTCATCCCTGCTCCAATCATACCGTCGAGACAGAAGTGGAAGAGGAACAGCATGGCTGCGGGGTGATCTGATGCAGCGTCGTCCAGCATGGGCAGCGATTGTACTCTAAAGGATAAAGCCTGTCGTGGTGCCTGCTCACCGATGGAGGCAGGAACGTTGCATTAATTCGTAATGACAGGTTCGAAGCGATTCCGAGCTTCGGAGCCTTGCAAGTTGATCTTATTGGAAGCTACGAGGCTTCGTTGCGACTCCAAAGATTTGAAGTGTGGGCTGTCTGCCGGCCTTTCCGGAGTCCCTTAGGAAGGTCCACAACTAGTACTGTCACTGGCCGTAGTCGGGGTGGTAGAAGCAGCAGCTGCAGCAGTCGTCGTCGTCGTCGTCGTTGTCGTCGGCACCCACCACCACCGCCGCCGCCGCCGCCAGCCACTGCCACCACCGCCAGCACCACCACCACCACCACCAGCACCGCCACCACCGCCACCACTGCCACCACCGCCGCCACCACCACCACCGCCAGGAAGAGAAACTGATTAGCACAGCAAGCAGAAGTAGAAGTTGCTTCGAGAAGAGGAATTGATGTGCAGGACTGCCAGTGGGGCCCGTGGCGCCCTCAGATCATGTTTGGGGGCACCAGGCTACTATAGATCTGTGGAGCTTCCGTGCTTAAGTTTAACAAAGCCTAGGGGGGTTTTCTCGTAGTACGTAGTCGTTTACTTTCACTTTTTTGGTGTTTAAATAGGGGTTGAAGGGCCTTGAGATTGCTGTCTTTTAAGGCTCGAGTCAGAAGTTGTTCAAAAATATATTGTCAAACTACAGAGTGTCACTGCTTGTCGAAGCCTGCAACCCCATGCATCGGAATCCATGCCAGCGCTTCTCAGTTGGAGTGCCTGGGGCAACTGCAGCGCCACCTGCGACAGCGGCTTCCAGTTTCGCAACAGGCCTTTTCTCTGTGTGTCTTGCTGTGTCATTGAGGCTAGCAAGCATTGCAAGCCCTCGGGTTTACAACAGGTCAGGATTTGGGGCGGGCTTACCGCCGAGCACAAGCTTTCTCATGGAAATGCCACGGGAAGAGGGCAAATGCGGGAGGTGGCCGAAAGGGTTAGCTCTGCAGGTGCAAACGGAGCAACCATTCATGCGAAGAGTAAAACGCGGCTGGGCAAAGCACATCGCCGACTCTGGCGATGTGCTCCCGATTCAAATCTGTCGCAAAAGTGGCCACGAGGGTCAACAGTCAACGAAAGCTCAGTTGTGTTTTTAGCAACATGCGGAGTCACCTCAGCGGCTTGAGATGGTTGGGATTGACAAGCAAAGTGGCAGATGGCGGGGCCAGGATTGATAGATGCGAATCAGTGTGCCAAAACCTTGTCTTTGGCAGGTCCGTTCTTGTTGAGAAGGTGGGAGAAGGTGCTGATTGCGATGGACATTCGGAGGACCAGCTGATGGAATGAGCGCATCTGTATCTCCTGCAGCAACTGAAACGGCTCACGCGCAGGATTACGAGCCCTGCGCTCAGCAAGGCAGGGATTTGGGAGCCTCCGACCTGGGCACACCTCGCTAGCGCATGTGCAGGTTGCCCGAGGGACTGTGTACTCCACGCCAGCGGCTTAAGAGACGGTCGGCGTGAGGTCTGCCTCCGTGGGAGGAAGCGCGCGTCTCGAGGATTGGGAGCCGTGGTCCGACTGCTCCCACACCTGTGGGCCCCTTGGCAGGCGGAAGCGGATCAGGCGCCGGGACCTGCGAATTCTGCGATCGCTCTGCGATTTGTGATGCTCTTGACGCGCCCGCAGGGATGCAGAGTCGGAGATCGAAGGCGGCAGGCCTCGACGTTCTTTCTGACATTCTCGGAAGCACGCGTTCTCGGGTTGGCCAGCCTGGACTCGGGTTCCTGCAAAACATGACATGAATTCCCGCAAAGGGACAACTTCGAGCTTGCGGGTCCCTTGCCGCAGGCCTTGCAATGAGTCGAACGAGGAGTACGAGGCGTGCAGAGCCTTTCTGCATCCCCAGAACGAGCATCTATAGTTTCTGCTCAATGAAGCTACCAGCGGCCGGAACCGGCGCAGTCTCCCACGGGCTTCCAACCCGACGAGGCTTGCGGCCTTGAAGGTTGCCCTCGCAACTGCATCTGGGGTGATTGGGCCGGGGCCTCGTCAGAACCACACCAACATTCGGCTAGAAAAGCTTGTGTGCGGCAACGCCGAACATCCGACTTTTCTACACGGCTCAGGGCGGCTGGAGCAATTGCACACAGAGCTGCGGCAAAGGCACACGGCTGGAAGACAATAGAGTCCTGTCCCTGAGTGTCTTGTAGAGTATCTTCTTGAGCTTTCCAAAGTAGCTGCATCACGGCATTATTCCTGATGCCAGGCATCGCGTTCCGGAACAGGATCCAGCTGGTGGTGGTGGCGCCCGGCATGTTCCACAAGACCACGTCGCCGCACATCCGGAATGTAAGGTCAACGACAATGAATGAAGCAATTGCCAGGCTGCCTACGGTGGAAACTGCGTGGGCAGTGCTACGCAGACAGAATACTGCAACGATGTGTGCTTGCCTAAGTGGGCATAGGGCCTTGGGCGTGTCAAGGAGCTGCATCTGCGCATCTGTGCTGCATCTGCGCCTGTGGAGGCCTTGCCCTGAGGATTGCAGCTGGCCGGGGGCTCGGGGAGCACTTGAACCCTCTCGACACGATCAAGCGACACTGAAGACCGCGCTCTTCCGAACGTCAGGAACGATTGGGGCGAGTGGACGTCGTGTACGCAATCCTGTGGAGGAGATGTCACCGGGCTGCGGCCTCAGACCTTCGGGCTCGAGCGCGCTGATGCCCAAGCCTTTAAGCCACGCTCCGCACTCCTTGACGGATACCCCTTCGTGCCAGGACGAAGTCGCGGCTTCGCACGAAATCAGGGCCCTTCAATGCCGGGCAGGCCGGGAGTTGCTGTGGTGATCCGTGGCGCGGGTGTTAAGTGCGGTGTTAAATGTTGCGACCACGCTTTGGGGATCAGGAGTGTGTTGGCTTCCCAACGGAGACGGCCGCGTGCAACGCACCTGGCGGTTGCTCTGTCAATTGCACCTGGGAGGACGGGTTCAGCCGCAGAGGTGATTTTTCCCCAACAGCGAAGCGATGGGGTCTTCAGCCCTTGGGTTTTGGAGCGGGTGCTGGAGCGGGTTCCGGAGCGGGTTCCGGAGCGGGTTCCGGAGCAGGTTCCGGAGCGGGTTCCGGAGCGGGTTCCGGAGCGGGTTCCGGAGTGGGTTCCGGAGTGGGTTCCGGAGCGGGTTTCCGAGCGAGTTCCGGAGAGGGTTCCGGAGCGGGTTCCGGAGGCTCCGGAACCCGGAGCGGGTTCCGGCGGGTTACCGAGCGAGTTCCGGAGAGGGTTCCGGAGCGGGTTGCGGAGCGGGTTTCCGAGCGAGTTCCGCAGAGGGCTCCGGAGCAGGTTCCGGAGCGGGTTTCGCAGGGAGCAGGTTCCGGAGTTCCGGAGAGGGTTCCGGAGCAGGTTCCGGAGCGGGTTCTGCAGCGCGTTGAAACGGTTTCTGGAGCGGGTTTCCGAGCGGGTTAGGGTTCCGGAGCGGGTTCCGGAACTGACGGACATGCTCGATGTCCTGTTCAAAGATCAAATCCCCAAAGCCAAAGCGTTGTGTGCAATGTATCGACATGACCTTGGATGGCCCGCTCGCTCAGACTGAAAGGATTCTGACAGACCTCGCCAGTTTCGTAACATGTATTTGCGATTAGCTGTTGGGGCTTCAGTGGGCTTATTTGTAGCACAGGATGTGAGTGCGACAGGACTGGAACGAGTGGACGGCTTGCTCCAGGACTCCAGGTTGCTTCCTCATGCCATCAACCCGCCTTACACTGCGTTGTTAGGACCTGCAGCAAGGGCACACGCACTCGACTCCGCTTCGTGGACACCGAGGCCGAGTAGCCAGCATGCCCGCCGGGGCAGGCTTTCAGATTACAGCATATGTGGCAGCACTGCCGCCGACCGACCCGTCCCAAGTTCCACAAGGTTGAGACTAGCAGAAGGCACATTGTAGCCGAAGTTGCAGATGTGTCCCATTCATGGTCCCCTCCACACCAGCCATGTCGGCCTCGTTCGGCCTGCGTTCCCGAGCTCCACGAGAGGAGGTGTTGCTTGCACTGCTTCTGGGTCTCTTCAGCAGGCTGCAAGTCATTGCCAGGAGCGCCTGCGTATGTGCACTTCGATTCTCAACAACTGCGGACGAAGTTCTGATTGGCAGCAAGCGCTGTGGCTGCTGGAGGCTGCTTGGTGCTCCTGCAGTCTCTTGCGAGCCTGGCACTTCGTGCACAGGAGATGCCGCTCCATGAACTGCGCCGCAATGCCTTCAGCGCCTTTTCTTTTCGTTTGAGTCTGAAAAGGGCATGAAAGCCCCCATCCGAAGCGCACGTCTTGTGCTGCAGATGGCTGTGCCTGTGGCTGCGCACGGAACCGAGGCTGCAGCGCCTCCATCACGAGCTGCGCACGGGCTGAGCGGTGGCCCTGGTGATCCTCGGAGCGCAAGGATATTTAAATGACTTTGAATGTAAGAAACCATCGGAGAAGCCATCGGATCCGGGATTCGCGAGGTCTGGAGCAGCTCCAGCAGATGCAGTTCCTTGCTGGAAATGTGGCGGCTTCACTGGGCCGGTCCTGTCACTCTGAGATTCTGTGAGGCAGGCTTCTCAGCGGCTAGATGATGTGAGCCTCGGCGCAGCTCTGCGTGGATGCCGCGGTGGTGCCTGGCCGGCGGCGCTGGTATTGCTGGCAGGCACTCACAGGCCATGTTCGGGCTGCGAGGGTAAAGCCCCAGCCTGCACAGCCAACTTTCAGGTCACACCCCAAACGTGGTAGGCTACAATGCGGCCAGGGACCCAGTTGGCAACTGCGGTAATACAGTTTATGCGTCATTCACGTTTTGCAGTTCCCCGGTTGTATCTTCAATGCATAGCCGTGCTGAGGCAGTGACAGCGTGCGGGGTTGACAGCCAGTGGCAGATTGCGTTTGGTATTCTGGGATGGATGAAACGCCGGTCTATCCAGCCCGATCTTTGGAGCCCCGTGGCGAGTTTACGTGGGATTTGGAGCAGGGAAGGGTTACTCCCCCTGCTGCCAATAGTGCAATCGCAGCTTCGTTGGCCCAGCTCCTAGGCTACAATGCCTTGATCAATGCCGTCGAAGTGGCCGCGCGTTGGGAGTTGGCGCTGCAGCTGCTGGAAGAGGCCAGAAGCATTCCTCTTTGCTTCTTTTGGGGCCACTGGTTTCCTAATGTTTCCTATCTGCAGAGCTTCACTCGGCAAGTGGAAGCCCTTGCTTGAAGAGTCCTTCGAGAGGCTGGGCAGCTTCAACTTGAACCGGATTCCTTCTCCTTTGGTTCCTGCATCAGCGCCTGCGAAGCTAGTGGAGAGTGGCAGGTGGCTCCTTGGCTCTGGTCCTGCTATTTCTTTCTCGTCCTGAGAGGTCTCTACAGTCTTTAGTCCACGGAGCTGGATCCAAGGCACTGCACTTGCTCGTGCACATGGAGCTGCAAGGCAGGAACGCAATGCTGTTAAGCCTGGTGGGCGATGGGCCTTTCTTCTTGCGAGGCCTACTTCTTCAGGAGGTACCCTGCAACGCGGCGATCAGTGTCTGCGCCACAGGCACGGGAGTGTTGCCTAAGACAGAGCTAGCTGTTCGTCTGTTGGTCGAAGTCGAAGTTGTCCCTTCAACCGGGCTTGCGGGCCTGGTTTACCTGGAGCATCCGCAAGTGTTAAGTTCCATCTTGGAGCGATTGTGCTTCTGCAGCATGGGATCAGTCAAGAGCGGAGTTACGATCAGGTCAGCAATGGCAGCATGCCGTGGCGGTGCTGCACGACATGTGCAAGAAAAGGCTGCAGCTGCTTGGCTGGTAGAGCATGTGGTTTGGAGCCGCTCTTTCGGCCGGGTATTCTGCTGTAGATTCGTGCCAACTGCTGCCCGAACCTGACTTCGAAAACGGAACTTGGGCACCGCGAACAGAGAGGGCAGCAGAGTGAATGGTAGCAGCAAATGCGCGGGCCAAGTGCCATAGAGAGGTCTTCTCAATGCGGCCAGGATTGACATCATTGGCGTTAACGCAGCTATCAATGCCTGCGCCCGCAGCGGCTAGAATGCACTCAAGCTTTTTTGGCCCCTCATTGGTGTTAACGCAGCTATCAACGCCTGCGCCCGCAGCGTCTAGAATGCACTCAAGCTTTTTGGGCCTTCGTGCTCTTGTTGCGTCTTCCCGCTCCAGGTGCACGATGGGAGGAAGCGCTGTCTCTCGTGCGTTCCGTCGATTCGCTGCGACTCCAGCGCACGGTGGTCAGTGACTTGTCTTAACATGGTAAAGCACCGCAGCATGACTGTCGCATCTGCAAGGGCGCCCTTTCACAGTCACTAACCTTGCTCGTGAAGCTGTCCATGACTTTATGGTCGAAAGCCGTTGTGGCCATTGGCGATGACAACGTAGACCGAAGGTTTATCGCCGTCGCTGAGGTTGCAATGCGGCGATGACAGCATGTGAGAAGAGTGGCGAATGGCAACTCGCTCTCGCTTTGCTCCAAGAGATGCCTGGGCCCCGGCGAGTGCGAGCCCCCTCTGCAACGTCCTTTGCGGCCCGGCGTGTCAGTGTCTCCTGCGCCCCAGGCAGCAAACGTCGACGGAGCCGACGGTGATCAGCTTTGGTGCAGTCTCTCGGTTTTTCGAAGGCTGACGACGATTCGGAAAAATATCGGGACGCCGAGGCCATCAGCGCCTGCCAGAAGGGGTCGCAATGGGATGCTGCCCTGACCCTCCTCAGTCGCATCGGGGAGATGGAACTGCAAGCCAATGAGATCTGCTTTTGCGCTGCGATGACAGCTTGTGCAGCCGCTTGGTCTTGCCGCAGTGTAAACAGCGGACACATCTTTTCACGATGTTTCTTTTCAGTCCACCTTTTTCTTGACGTTGTTGATCAAAGTTGATTGTGTCTCCGACCCTTGGTGAATACGGTTCGGAGAAGGCTTCCATGGCTTCTTGGCTTCACGGATTCCCTAGCTTAGTGGCTTCTCCTGGATTTCTCGTTTTTTCTGGGTAAGACACATACGACTCCAAGAAAATACAGAGGTAAGTATTACATGAATGATGTGTATCGGTACAATTTTCAGTCTGTGTGATTGACAATGAAAAGGCCTTGCGAGGCCTTGCAAGGAGTTGCAGGTTCGACGGTCTTCAAGTCCTTCGCAAGCCAGGAAGGTGTTCCGAGGGTTGCTTCCAAAACACTGCCGGGGGAAGCGCATATGGCACTCGACGCCCTGACGCATGGAGTGCGGTTCCGGTCTCCGCCCTTACAATGTTAAGTAGAGCTAGTCGACTGAATGCCAGAGATCCACATCGGTGTCGAAGGGTTCCCTATTTGACAGGATTTCCAGTTCAACGAGTTTACATGAGTTTCAATGGCAAGCTGTCGGAAGGTCTTGAACGGCTCCAGAGGCTTTTCAACATGTTTCCAAAGCTGGGTTTTCTGAAGGCTCGACGTCTTCATGGAATCCCTTTTTCAAGCTTGGGATGACCGTCAAAACCGTCAGCAGGCCCAAACTCAGGTGGAAACATGTTAATTAATGGCCAAGAAGGTTGTTAGTCGAACGTTTGATGCTGTCTTAACCCTAAACCCTAAACCCTAAACCCTGAACCCTAAACCCTAAATAAGCAGAATCCTCCAAGAGTTTTAGCAATATTTCTTAACTGAGGCTTTGCAAGACTATGGAAAGGAAACCAGACCGAAAACAAAATGGCCCCTGCGAAACTCCGAAACACTGTAAGGAAGTTTGGCCGTTCTCTTTGAACTCCATTCGTTGGTGGCAACCTGAGGCTGCTGGTCAGTGGAGAAGGAGCATGGACATCATTGATGCGATGCTGGACGCAGGCATTGACATGTGCTTCGTTGCATATACACTCATAAACATTTTTTTCGAATGGCAGGTATTGATGGCTTCCATGGTGCTGATTATGATCACAGTTTTCAGGCGGTCCTTATGACATTCCGATGAAAGAGCCCGACGGCCAAAAACCATTGCCTGCACGACAGGCCGGAAGTTCTGTCGACTGCTTCAAGCACTCCGTCTTGACGCTGCTGTTGCAACGTTTGTCTTCAGTTGAAGCGCCGTTCACCTATGTTGCCGCCAAGCAGCAACGAATGTATGTTTTTCTTGCCGAGACACGTGTGAACACAATGTGCGGTTTGTGGTAACTGAGGATACACACGGAGGATGGGGCTTGTACAACTTGACCCACGATTCTGACACGTACCACAACTCTGAATTTGGTGTTGCGCAGCTCCTTGTCGAAGCAATGTTAGCAGCGTCGTCGACGCTGTGCGAGCAGAGCAGTGCGATTTGATTGGTTTCGTGCTGGTGGTCACTGGTCAGTCACTGTCGTGGTCGGATTCCCGACCTTCGTTATCTTTGTTATGGCAGTTGCTGCGACTTGCTGATGTCTTGAGACAAGCGGTTCAGCTCCACAGACGCTGGTGAAAATTCGAGTGGGGTTTTCAACAGAGCATGCTGCACAAAAGCAAGGCGACTGAACAGCAAACTCCTTGCGCTGTTTTTTGACGAACCGTTCTCTTCTACACAGCCCACAAACTACGCTGAGCACAGCAGACGGGTGTCTCAACGGGATGTTTGGTTATAATTTATCCAAGCACGTCCTTAGTTTCCTCATGTCTTCTTGTCTTTCTCCCTTGCCTCCACTCCTCAGGCTGGATGCAGCTGAGCAGCTCCACCCAACCATCCAGGCGGGAGAAACGGGGCCTTTTGCCTCGCGTCGGGCTTCTAGCTGATTCAGTCAGAAAGGTTGTCATTGCATGAGCCAAGGTTGCAACACGGGGTACTTGCAGTATCCTCCTGCAGGCTTACCTCCAGAATTCGCACAGGCTGCACAGCTCTGGCAGAGGCTCCCGGCCGCTTGGTGTTCATTCTGGTACCACAAACAGTGTACTCGAGCCTGCCGCTTCGGGTCGTTAAGGCTCTACCTGGGCTCGCCCTTGCTGGCACAGCAGTGGTTGCGCCCTCAGGCTGGGCCGGGCACTGAGAGGCTCTACGCTGCGTCCCCTCCCAGTGCCTCCCCGGATGCGTCCAGGATCGAGGCATCTTTTTGGAGATGGCTCCCAGCGTGCATGCCAAGCTTCTTCAACACCAGAAGATGCTTGATCCCAACGGCGTGTCAAATGCCGAAGTCCTCAGAGCCAACTCCTACTGGTGGCTCCTGCCTGAGTAAGCGGCAGGCCATAGTGCGAGTGTTGTCAAACGCAGCACGACCATGTAAAAGAAGCTGGCAAGGTTGCTGCGGGCTGCCGGACCCGAGACTTTCAGGGAAAGGGGGTTGGTCCTGATGGATCCACCGTACGAGCCGTACCAATCCTTTATGGCATGGAACCTCCGCTTGCTGCAGTTCCTGGAGTCCAAGTGGCCCAGTGCTTGTGCCAGATGCCCAGTACCACGCAAGCTCGCAAGCGGCATTGCCAATACCATGCCAATGCCGGAAGCGCCTCGGCAGGTGGCTGTGTGGTATCCCTGCCTGGACGGACCGCAGCTTCGAAACCTCTACCAGGGCCTCAGTGGTCTCGGGATGGGCCATGTGCTGGTGGTGGAGTTTGGGTGCCTTTCCAGCACACACTGATACTGTCCATTCTTCTTGCTTTCCCTCTCGCGCTCAAGATGAGATGAAGGTTCCGAGACTCATCGGCCAAGTCCCTCCAAAATTCAGGCCCGGCATTTCATGTCCGACTCAGGAGATCCGGCTGCTGTTGTCCCCGTCTTTACAGTCTCGTGTGTGGTTTGCGGCAGGCTTTCTCATCCAGAACCCTCCCGAGCACACGGTCGAGCACTTGCGGGAGCTGCTGCCAGCATTGGGTGCTGGGGCTGCAATCCCTACACCGCCTATACAGAAAGTTTGATTTTCCTGGTCTAGATCGGTCTAGATGTTTTTGCAGTTTGCTGTGCGCATTCTGCACGAATTTTCAGCTTTGGACAGGGCGGGCGATGGGAGCCTCGGCTGCTCGGCACGCAGTAGGTCCAGAGGCTACACCTTTGGTTGAGAACACGTTTGCCCATGGAGCAAGGCTACCATCCGTGCACGAATCTTCTGGGCGAAAGACTGGGTGGCCGAAAAAGTAAATCTGCGCCCTTTTGCCAAGATGCTGCATCACTTTCTATCCTGCTTCAAGAGAGAGCATGTGCAGGGCGATTCTTACTGACGGAAACCAAAGCCCCGGTCAGGCCTACGGCCCCTTGGGCCTGAATTGCACCGGGGAGCCATCGGAAGAGGACCTCCCATGCTTCTAGCCAGTGCTTCCTTGCGGTAACTCTGGGCTGTAGTCCTGACTCTGCCCTGTAGTTGTCTTCCGGCGTGGCCCAGGACCCGACAAAGTACTCCAGGGTTCACTACAAGCCCAGCCACACCGTGTGAGGGAAACATGTCACACTAGCGCCCCGGTGGGTCGGGGTGGGTGGGGGTCTTTTGTGAAAATATCGGGATCCATTCCACTGTACAAGGCAATCCGTGGATACTCGTAGCAAAAAAGCCCTGTCAGCGGGTTTTCTGGACTTGCAAATGCTGCAGGAACTTTGCGACACAGAGCTACCCTGCCCAATCGCAGCTTTGGTGGCACAGGCGGCTCCAGGAGAGGCAGAGAGCGGTTTCGAGAAACCGAGGACTGCCAGTTCGAGGACTGGGGCGACTGGGGCAAATGCCAGCTCCAACCCTGTGGCCCCGCGAGAGCCTCACTCCATTCCCCGAGGCAGCACAGCACACGGCACAGCACGCAGCGCCTGCTGTCAGCGCTGCTGTGAAAACGCCGAGGCCCAGCGCCTGCGCAGCCGCGAGAGGGGCTCGGCGCAGTTCGGCTCCGGCCTCAGAGGCGTAAAACATCACAGACCCCTTTTAGCATCCCTGAGCTCTGAGGTGGCGCCCCATGCTTAGGCAATCTCAGCGAGGTGGAGGATCGGGACATGCGGGACATGACATGCATTCCTTCTTTCCATTCTTTACTCGGCAGGATTGCGAGATTCCCGGAGCACCGCCCGTGCCTCCCTGCAATGTGACCGTCCCCTTCTCTCCCGAACTTTTGCAGCAAGTGGACGGATGGGTTCTTAAATTTCGCTGTTTCAGCCTCGCTTCATGCCCTCAGGAAAGCAATAAGACCTCGGAGCCGGAGGGAGACGAATCCACAGCTCCTTGGTGCATCTCAGTGCAGGAAACAGGAGACACGCGGTTCGGAAGTTTCGGCACGCTAGGTGACGAACCCACCTGCCGGATCGGCGGAGGCGCTGTGGGCATGAGTCCAAGTGCCTGACGTGATGGCAGAAGTGCTGAAACGGCCCTTCCAGGTGAATCCACCGAAGCCTCCTCTGGAGGCAGCTGTCGTCGCTGCTAAAGAAGCGGCGCAGCAGAATGCCACTCCTGACGAGCAGGTGCTTTCGCTGTCGCAGGATGTCGGAGGTGATGCGTGCATGATGGTGCATGTCAGGCGGCTGCAGCAGGGCAGGCGGCAGCTGCGGCACCTGGGGGCAACCCGACCGTGGCAGCTGAGGCTGCACAAAAAGCTGCCGAGGCAGCGGGCGAGAGCCCAACCAAGCAGGTGGAGATGGCAGTTCAGGCAGCGGCAAGCGCTGCTGCTCGTTCCAGTGGAGGCAACGCCACCAAGGCGAGCACAGAAGCTGCGAAAGCAGCCACGAAGGTGGCCGCCGCATCAAATCTGACCACGCAGGAGGAAGCTGTGATCATTGCAAGCGCTGCCCGAGAGTCCGCCTCAGAGTCGGGCGCCGACGTGGAGTCCGTGGGCAAGGCAGCTGCTGCGTCGGCGAAGGCAGAGGGCGCAACACCCGAAGAGCAAGCGGCAGCTGCAGCTGTTGCGGCATCGGATGCTGCGAAGAAGCAGGGCGCCAATGCAACACAGGCTGCCGAAGTCGCCATTGCTGCAGAACCGCGGCAGCAATCGGCCGCACATGCCAGTGTACTGTGGATGTTGCAGGGCTCTGAGTGCAAGACTCACCGACCAGCTTTCCCATCTGAGGCCAAAGCCGCTGGAGCCACGCCGCAGGACTGAGTTACCTGCTCTTTACTCGCGAGTCTAGCTGCGTCCAGCTACCAGTGTGCATGTCTCGCTCTAATCTCTTGGGTTCTGTGTCTACGGCACAGAGCCTTTGCATTAGCAGACGTCGTTCCTTGTCGTTTCCCCTTCCCCTGCTTGCAGCAGGAACAAGCTTCGGCCGCCTCTGTTGCCTACACCCGCGCTGGTGGCAACGAGACACTGGACCCTGTGACAATCCGTGTGTAGATGGCCTCCCCGCAGTTGGCGTAACGCTTCTCCATCACGGCTCCAACGTCAGCGGGCAGCCGGAACAAACCTTCCGTGCTCTGAGTGTCAGGATACCGGAAGCTTTGGGTTGCCACCCGCTGTGCACCGACCGTTGGGAGCCTGGTCCCAGGGGGTTCTTATAAGGGCTTCCTTCAACAAGGGTCCTATGGCCGAGGGTTGTCTCCGAGAAGGAAGCCGAAGAGATCGCGGAGAAGGACGAATCACCCGCTTATCCCGGACATGTCAGACGATCTCATCCGCCCTGTGTGAGTTTGAGTTTGTCAGTTCTGCCTTTCTAGCATTGTTCATACCATCCCCTTCTCTACCACCTTCATGTTGAGGCTACTTCTGAAGCATGTTCCCCTAACAGAATGCGCTGCTTCGCACTATTGCACTTGCACAACTGGCAGGAACCCGAGGCTGTGGAGGGCAGTGAAGTGCTGGAGGCACTCGAGCGTGGTGTGGGTGTTCAATTTCAAGCGGTCCGTTCTTTGGAAGGTTTTCCTCGGGTATGGCGAAGCTGTTTTTTTTCAGGTTCAGGGTCTACGGAGGTTTCTGGCACTGCCGAGACCTGACACGGAGGTGAGCGACCCTGAGACCTTCATTCACGATGCGGCAGCTCTCGAGGCCGTTCGCGTGCGGAGCCTCAGGGCCCTTCTGAGGGCTGAGAGCCTATGCAGAGCACGGGAGCGCTGAGGATGCCTTGGCTGAAGAGCTTGGCGTCGACCCGGCCGGGAGCCCCTCCCTATGGGAAGCGTGTTTGGGATCATGTCTGCGGCTCCGAGGATGCCATCATCGTCAAGGGTGCGGAGCCTGCATCAGTCGGCCTCCGAACTTCCACGTGTTTTAGGCCGAGCGCTTCCATGCAGCCGGTGCTAAGGTCTCTGCGAACTCGCCATCAATGCTGGAGATGGGCCGAAAGTCCTCAGCGATGGCCAGGCAGAACAATGACCGGCAGCAAAACCAGAAGAAACTTCTGTGGCGCCTTACCTTTCCTTGCATGGCCTCAGCTGCCAAGGGCTCACATAGAAGCAGTCACGGTAGAGTGGGTCACTGTCTTGGGTGCGGGGGTGGGGGCGGTGCATTGTCTAGTCTGCGCTAACTGGTGCAGGAGACAAGCTCCGGCAAAAGGAGAAGTGAACATCACTTACGAGGTCGTGCCAAGTCGCAGCCCCAGTGAGCATCCGTGTCACCCCTTGTGTGCTGTTCAGCCGTGACCTATTCCAGCGAAGACAACCGTAATCCTCCATGAGGTATCAGTGGTAAAAGCGACGAAGACGTCGTCAAGGCCGTCGCCGCGCTGGCCGGGAACTTTCGAGTCGTCTGATTTCGTAGATGCTATACTTCCGAAAGCTGCCGACAGATGCTGGAAGATATGAGGATGGACAAACAGCTTCCAAAGTGCACGAGAAGATCTTCGCATCCAAGAACCTCCCTTATGCAGCAGAGTCCCCAGACAGTCCCAAGGTCATGCCTGTTCCATGCAGCATGGGCATGGCATGGCCCAACTTTGCCGGAGGTCCAGGTGTCTGGTCTGGACCTCTTCGTCGAGAACAAGGTGACGACGAGTTCTCCGATTTCGCACAGTGCGTGCAAACTCAACACGTCTTGTGCTGCGAGGAGACTGGGGCCGCGGTTCTTGAAAGCACCATCACAGGCTTGAACCAAATTAACCAAAGAAGCGGTGCACCTCCGCCGACGCTGGCTGTGCCTCTGGCGAGTGTCGTAGCACTCTTCTCATGGTTCTGAGACAGGGCGCTTCGATGTTGCTGAATAGCACAGATTTCAAGCGCAGAGATGAAGACGGGGTCGGTGGCTCTTGTTTGCTTTCTGGCAGCTTCTGCGGCATGACCCTGTCCCAGACGCATGTGCGCACCAACGAGGATGCCTGCCTTTAGCACGGAAGCAGTTGCCTTGTTGAGACTTGGCTTCGCCTGTGCGCGTGGTGGGGCTGTAGCAGAATTTGGACTTGTCAGCAGCGAAAGCTGAGCAGCAGCAAGCTGCGACAGGCTATTTCCCGCCTTAGCTGCCCTAGTGTGGTCGCCTTTGGAGTGGCGCATCCGACATAGAATGACTCTCCACGGGTCACATCTCGTTGTCGGAGCTCATGTGCGAGCACCTCAGTCCAAAAAGCAGGGTGCAGAGGGTGTAGAGCCATAGCCAAAACTCAGCTTTGCAGCCTTGCTTTTGTGGCTCCGTTGAAGTTGAAGCGGCCTTTCGGCCTCTCTGCCTGAGGCGGCCTGGGCTGGGCGGATGGAGGCCGCTGTCGGGAGGCCGACGGCGAGGCAGCCGTGGGCACCCCGGCTTCTGCCTCTCACTTTCCTGCAGTCCTTGCAGTCCTTGCGAACGCATCTCAGGCTTTGGCTGAAGGCCCGTTCCTCAGCTCAGCGGACCGCGGCGGAGCGCGGCTCGGCTATGCTCGGCTTAGCCAGTCTTGAGACGAGGTGGACAGAGCGGTCCAGCGGGCGGCGCGCATCGAGTTGGGCCGCATGAGGACCGGGTGCCGAGGGACTAAGAGGAACTCGAATGGTGCGGTTCGGCAGGACGGCGCTGGAGGTTTCAGACCCTGACCAGCTCCAGGCATTGTGGGATCATGGATGTGTGGGAGCACGATCAGCTGTCGGGCTTTCGTGCAGTGGGTCTTCAAACTGTGAGCCTGTTGGTTTTTGGGCTGAACTATGCTGAACTTCTTGTCAAATCTCCAGTCAGAGAACAAGTCCTGCAAGAACAACCTTGAAGAAGCATCGCATTCCGATGCTTGAGAGTTCTCACGAGGCGTGCTACTTCAAGAGTTCAATGCCGCTCACCGCTCTGAAGTCAAGAAAGCCAACCACACACCACATTGAATGGCGTTCTCGTTGAACGATGCGCCTGCTGCAATAGCCATCTATCACTGCCAGTTGCAAGTCCAATACCTCGCCATGGCTGCTTGATCTGATGTCGGCAGTGGACTTGCAAACGGGTCCCCTACCAAAACGTCGGCAAACCATACAAACACAGAGGCTTGACCGGAAGCAGTCCGGGCATTGTGCGAGGTTGGTAGCTGCAGGTAGGGCGCGAATTCGCTAAAATTCTTAGGAGCAGGCGATGTTTGATCCGACAGGACGAAATCGGGCTTCGAGTTTTGTGAGACAGTTACTTCATTAAGGGGTGTGGAAAGGGGCTAAGAGCCTTGGTGACAGTTGGTGAACACTCACACCCTTTAGGGTTGCGGGTTATCCAGTCGTTTCAGGGTTGGGTTTTCGCAACGGTAACCACGCACTCGTTTAGGATTTAGATAGATTTAGACTGTTGGTCACCATCAATCACCTCTGTTAGGGTTCAGGCTTGGCGTTCGTGACAACGAGACACTCCTTGCGACCAGTCAGTTCTTCTGGGATCGAGCTTGCTTTTCTGCAACCACTCAGTCCTTTTGGGTTTCCGGGTTTCGGAACCTTCTGCAGAGCCGCCCCAGACTGCTGAACCGGTCAAGCCTAATCCCAGAAGTGTCGATCCTGCTGGAACGGCTGATCCGAGCAGTGGCAAGTAGCTCCACGGATCTGATCGGCGTCGGATTCCCCCCCCCCCCCCCGTTTCTGCCCCAACCCCACTCCACCCCGTGCAGAAACCGCAGCCTTTACGGGGTCTAGGTTGTCTGGGTGGAGAGCCTGTGTTGTTGCACATGACCCCGAAAATTTAACGTGTCGCCTTTACAGGCCATGATGACCTGGTGGATGGCAAGAGATGCAAGCGCTGTGTGGCTCCAAGCGGGGAAAGACGGCTGTTGCTGCAGACATGTGGCTGCAAAGCTTCCCAGGCTTGACAAACCTGTAGTCAGGCTTCTTCTGGTGGCATGGCCACTGCTCGTCCGAGACACAGAACTCAGAATGAGCTTGCAGAGAGAGAGATCCTCTCAGATATCCTCTGAGGCTTGTTGCAGGAAGACTCGGCCAGGGAAGAGGCAGGCGCTGCCGCTTCGGTGCGGATCTCTTTGGAGCGGAATTGTGTCCTAGTCTCTGAGGGCGAGGAGACTCTGGGAGCCCTGCTCTTCTCGGAGCGTCTTCACCGAAGGTTGGGGTGCCAGTGTGGTCTCAGTCGTCCCACGCAGAAAGGCCCCTTCACGCCCCGACCTAGGTTTCCCTACACGTCCTTTTATGGCCCTTGCCCCAGACTGCAGCGCTGCCCTGCGCTGCCCCGTGCACGTTCTGCAGTCCTGGGCGAGGTAGAGACGACTACGCGGTCGGAGGCACTCCGTCCGAGGCCGGGGAGTCGGGGAGCTAGAGAGAGCAACGCTGTCCAGCGTTGTGTTCTCTCTTTGCCGGGCTCGGGCTTGGGAGGCGAGTGCACCGGGTGCCGAGTTCGAGCGGCTGCAGCAGGCCAGAGTGTTTTGTCCCAAAGCTCGCAGCCTTTGCCACCAGAATGACAGGCTTTGCAGCAGAACCTTGAGGCTCTGCAGGCACAGGGGTGCCTGGATGTGTGCCTGTGTGTTGCTTCGCTGCATGTGTTCATAGAAGACTTTCTGCGCAAGGACCTGCGATCCAAGCTTGCTCCCTACCAGGCGGGCTTTCCCGCTTGCCAGCGCATGCCGTGCAAGAACGCAGACGGCAGATCTGAGATCAGCAGGATGCCTCGCGCAACTCGGGTTTGCTGTGGCGCTGGGCCGACGTCGTCGCGGTGGCCTCGCGCTTCCGGGAGGCTCTGCGGCTGCCGTCGAAGGCCAGCGGCCCAGCAGCGGCCCAGCAGTCGGAAGTGGCGATCGCCGGAGACAGTTGGTGCTTCCGTCGCAGGCCCAGCGCGCCCTTGCGGTCATGCCTGCCGCCGCAGCGACAAGAAACGGCATGGCGCTGACGCGGCGCTTTTCGGAAGTGGCAGGAGACCCAGATGGAAGGGCATGGGCGCGAGGCTGGAACTTGGAATGCTTGAAAACACTCACTCTTGCAACTTAGCAGTGCGCTCAGGACTTTTCAGACAACATCGCTGAGCTGTGTACTTACCAGTGTGCCGAGAGAGTTGTGAATTTGCTCGTACAACTCATGTGACTCGCACAGCAGCCCATGTTCACTCAGCGTCACTTGCTGTGCCTCACCTCCTGCTACTTGACCACTGAGGTTTACAACGATTTGCGGGCTGTTCCTTGCCGCTGTAATTGGTCTCTTGGGTGGAGCCCCGAGCAGCGTGGCGACTCGAGGGCGGGCGGTGAAACGAGGGTCACATGGCGACTCGAGGATTTTGTGCTGCTGCTTTATGGCACAACTACGGCTGGGCCTAGCACTCGGCACTCACGATGCTACGCCTCAAAAGAAGATCCTCTTGTTCGTGTTGTGAGGCGGCTGGGCTCTTTGCTTTCGGTGCTGCCAACTCGGTGCTCCTGGGCCTGGGGGGAGAAGCGGAAGATCTCCTCACAGCGGTGCTCCTCTTGAGGTGCTCTTGCGGAACTACTCGCGCTTGCACCTTCCGCACATCCGACGCCGCCTGGAACATCGACTTAAAGAGCTGCGAAGATCTCAGAAGAGAAGCCCAAAGGCCATAAAGACTTGGGGCAAAAAGCGCGCGCCTGTCTCTAGGTCGCAGCAGAAGGATTCCTTGATAAGAGATGTCCAACAGGCAGGGCTTAGCGGCGGTTACTGTAGCGGTTCAATGCAACTCTGCAGTGTCTGCAGCCATTGACCTGAGAGGTCCAACACGCTTCTCGCAAGACAGGGATGGCTGGGACCTTGGCGTGGGTGGTTCGGAACATGTAAATCGTCAAAGCTGAAGGTGCAGGTGCGGGCCCACATATTCTTGCAGAGCGTCAACGTGATTCGCAACATCGATTATTTGACTCGCTGCATCAAGACGGAGGCACGTACATTTGCATCTGTGGCCACAGTGCAGCAATGCTGCATCATTCCAGACGTTGGAAGGTCGACGTGGTTTGCTGGAACCTCAAACGCTAGAGAACTTGGACAAATTAGGAACGCATGGGGGCAGAAGCTAAAGAAGCAGACTCACAGGTATGCAAACGCCCTGAAAAAATTCAGTCCTGTGAGGAGGAATGACAGGAGCTACATTCTGTACATGCCTTCGCCAGGTTCAGCGCCTAGCTTCGGACCGCAACCCTCGCAAGGCTCAGTTGAGACGCCGGTGGCTGGCCTGAGAAAGGGGCCGGGACGTTCAGTCAGTTCGGACAGCCACGAAGTTGGGATCTCTTCGGAGGTGGGAGGAAGGGACCCGAGTGGGCCAGTGACTTCTCCATAATGCCGGAAAAAGAAATCCGGTGATGGCGGTGTATTGTCATGAGACGCTGCCGAGCGACGAGAAAACCCGACTGGGATCTTGAACCCGACATGACACCACGACGCATGAACGCCTGAAATCCCCTTTCCTTCAGCCTACTGACTTACAGAGAGCGAGCCGCCTGGGCAAGATCCGGCCGTAATACAGTAATACAGGTTCGCTCCAGTCTGGAACTGTGTGTGCGTGCGCTGGTCTGTGTCTTTCCGAGGCTAGCTTCCAGTGGACTGCAGCTGCTGTGCGGGCCTCAATGATGCCAGACTGCGGCTTGGGATCATGCCGCATTGCTTTCACCGGCCACGAGGCTGGCTTTGCTCCCCCACAGTCCACCGCAGTGGCAGCAGGAAGCCCTTGGAGGCTGCAGATGTCAAGAGGGAAGGGAAGGATTCATGGCCTTTCCTTCTTTCGAGGTGAGAACTGTGCAGAGTTGGCCTCCCTGCTCTACGCTCGTCGGAGAGGACCTCGAGCCGAGTTCACAGAGAGGTTCCTCTCTTTGGTGAGATCACCAGGACTGGCTCCGCCGGTGGCTTCGGAAGTCCTGTCCAGCGGATACATGGAATCTCGCAAGCGGCTCTGGTTGCGGCTCGGATCTGTAAGAGATTTTAGCTGATTTAAGTAAATCGAAGTATCTCGCCGTGGAGTAAAAATGTCTGTGTGTTCAACGAGGCTCTTCAGGATGGTTCACCTCAGCTCCGCCATCCCGACAGAGGTGGGAACGTTACAAGGGCCTCACTTCTGTGCAGCCTGGTACCTGCAGTAGATCCTAGGTGCAGGGCAAGCTGACAGCCCTTGTTGACAGCTATTTGCGGCCAGTACTCGCTGCAGGCTGAGTGAGCCGATGCCAGCCTTGCTGTATTAGATCAAAGAATGCTCCGCAACGCGCTGTCTCCTGGCTTCCTAGGTCGAGCGGCGTGTTCCCACAGGCTATTGCCAAGTCCTCGCGAACCCTTCGAACAGCTCACATGCGCGGGCCTTACCCGGAGACGACGAGCTGCCCTTGGAAGTGCCGGTCACGATCCAGCTGAGGCCATGTTGGAAGACAGCAAGCGGGAAGGCGACCTTTGTACCTTGCAAAGCTTCCGTCAGTCTGCATGATCCGTTAGTGAGTAGGCGGTGACGACTTGGGCGAGGCCGACAATGCAGTCAGTTGTTTTTGGCTGCCGGCTGCTGTTCGGAAGACTGTGAGATTTGTCTGCCCACCATAGGCTCTGCAGACCGTCCAGGGTCAGATACCTTTCGGACAGGATGTTCAGCAGCATGGATCCGCGAAATGCGCGAGCGTGTCGAGCGCGCACGGGCTCGCTTGGACAGCAGCCTTGCATTTTTGCTCCGTTTACGCTTGGCTTGCTTTGCCAGGTGCTCGAAGCGTCGAAAGCGAGGACCAAACTGCGGAGAGCGAGGCTGGAAGCATTCGAGCTGTCAGCAACTGGCTTTGCTGCACCCAATGTCGGAAGGACACATTCTCGTTCTGTGCATCCACCGCATCTCAGTCCAAGATCTCCAGCACGTCTTGTGATCGCATGGGCAACACCTCGAAAGCAGTTCGCAAGCTCTTCGCGACACGGAGCGACATCATGCAGGTCTTGAAACGACTTCCTGCACCGGCGCTGATGTCTCCATCAGGTTCCACGACGCAGACAGACAGCATCCTTCGAGAAATCTTTACCTCGGTGGCTGTTGGCGTTGCTGCGAACGGCCAAGAAGGCCAAGGCCAAGCGGGTGCTGTAGGCCTGGCGATCGGCTACCACTATGGTGAGAGGCCATACAACCTTTCCGGGCGAGTCCAGACCACGCTGGAATTGAAGGTGGCCCTTCCACAGGCCCAAGCTGGCTCCTCCAGCGCTGGAGGCTCACCCTTGGAGGTGAAAGTGCAGCTGCTCAGAAGAAGTTGGAGAGTTGTAAGAAGCGGGGTTTCTCATGCTGCGCTTTGCTGCGCTTCGCTGCGCTTCGCTGCGCTTCGCTGCCGAGGCTCTGTCAACTGTCGGACTCCGAGCCCTCCGCCGTCGAGGCACTTGCGGCCTGGAGCGACCTCGCCGCCGCCGCTCGGCCAAAAAGCAAAAAGGGGAGATTTCGCAGCCACCGCTGCAGACACTCCGCGAGGCCCTCCCGCTGCGCTTCAACGACTCGGCCCTGAGGGTGCGCCGAAGGCACCTGAAGAAGGCCAAGGAAGCCTTGCGCTCACTCCCAAAAGGATGATCGCCACGCCTTGCAGAATTTGGCAGATCTCGCAGATTCTACGGGTTGGGCCATGTACAAATGTGGCCAAAGGTCAGCCACGTTGCACCCAGAGCTTACGGTTCTGCACGCACGGACCAGTACTTCAGATTCCGTGCTAGCGGACCAAGCTCTGAAAAGCCTTGTCTGCGATGGGCAAGAAGTTTCAGAAGCCTCCGATTTTTCAATGCCAAGCTTGCAGATGCAGAATTCAAGCTACATGTGGTCGCAGTTATACAGAAGAGGGATGTACGACAAGAAGGTTCGAGTAAGTTATTGCCTTGTTGCAGCACATTGTATTCAACGTTTCAATCACAATGTCCTTAGCATGGGTACAGCCATGCTGTTCCTGGTTGACACGTGCAAGGTTCGATTGATGCTTGTGTCTATGCAAGCGATACAGTCGACTGTCGCAGATCAGACTGGCACCAGCACAATCAGTCGGAATGAGGTAATCATGACTGACGAGAATACCAAGTTGCGCTGATTCGTTCTGCGGGCACCTTGAACCGACAAAGTTCCACTATTTCAGCCGCCAGCAGCGATAAAATAGTCGTGCTCGTGTGCATTGTATTGACATTAGACGTGGCATGAAGAGTTCTTGTGTCGGCATCATCTGTGGCCGATTGACCACCATCCTAAGGTCAACGGTCAAAGGTTTGATTCAAGTGTAACTTTCTACGGGGAAGTGCTCGTGAAGATCAGCATGTAGGGCAACGGCCGCCACACTCCAGTGTCGCCTTGCTCGCAGCCTTCGCCTTGCTTGAGTTCGCGGCATCGCCCTTGGTCGTCCCACCAGCTGAATAGGTGGAGGGCCGGCCAGAAAAAATCGCAAAAAAGACGGCAGCTCGGGGGCGACTTCGTGCAGCTTGGTGAGGACCGCTGCCTGGGACAGGCAGTCGTTGGCACAGCGTCCATCAAACGACACCGGCACCGTGTCCGGGCGCAGTGCAAGTTGACGCGGGCGAATGGCCCGGTCAGAGGGCCCACTCCTTCGCGAGGGTTCGTGACACCGGGCGGCGAAATGCGTCCCCGGTAGCGAAGCCTCGTGCCACCCCATCGCTTTCCGCTACGCTGCCGGGTCTCGTTCCAGAAAGACAGTCAGCGACGCCGGTCATGGGGATTTGCGCTCGCGCCGCGCGGGTCGCAGCTTCCGTGAGCAGGTCGACGTGGAGGTCCTGCGGAAAAAGTTTCAAGTGCTCAGCCGGCGAGGCCTGCCGCACCGCCCCTGCGAGTATCACGAAGGGCCCTTCTTCTTGAACGTTGTTGCAGCAACGGGCTTGGGCATCCCACCAACAGTGGACGGTGTCCCGTAGAAGAACCGCACGAAAGGGACCAACCCCGGCCCGGCCGTTTTGAGTGCACTGCGCCCGTTGAGCGAAACCAAAACTGTGACTGTCGTCGCGCACCTCCAAAGCCGTTCGCACACATGCTGCGAGGGCGTCGGTGCCGGCACGTGCTTGCAAAGCAAACTGGTACGGTCGCGTCGCCTGATCAAAACCCGTCGCCGTGCCCTGCGCCGAGCGGCGGCCACCCTTCACCCTGACGACAGTTTGGTCCTCTAATTTTAAAACCAACTATTGCATCACCACGACGCCCTCCACGCCAGGACATCGTTGGACGCTGCTGTCGAGTCCGTGGCCGACCACTGGCATCGGGTGCAAGTTGGAGCGGTAGGCGCTTGTGAGGGCCCCCGCCACCAGGCATCGCTTAGCTTGGCAAGGAAGCATGGAGAGGCGACCTGCACTCCGATCATCGCGGATTCGTTTTTGACGGGCACCCTAGTCGCCCAGACCTGGGAAACCTGTTTGCCAGTTGCCGATCTCCAAGACCTGCACTGCTCATAGATGCTTCTGCTGTGTGTGCGTATTCCTTCCGTGCGAACCACGGCCTATACGGTGCCACAGGAGATCCTTGCCTACACCGGGCCCATGATCGAGCCTGCCTCTAGGCGGAGCGCGCAGGCGACATATGGTTGGCAGTGTCATGCGTCTGCACTTGCAACCAACATCTCCGCGACAGTATGATGCCGCCGGCTATGGCGCCGGATGCCCAGGCGCTTGTGCGAAAAAAATCGGGGCCTCACACAGGGTCGTGGCTCACCGCCACACCAGCCGAGTCAGCCATATCTCTCGCGCCCCAAGCCATGCCGTGTCTCATCTGCCACCGCAGCTCCGGACCGACATGGCTGTATGGCACAAGTCGATGGACCCGGCGACCACGCGCTCGCTTGCCCGCGAACCGGCCTGCTCGCTTATAGCGCGCGAAAGTAGGCAGTGATGTCCACTGCCACTAGTGCTACTGCTACATTTATCCCAGCACTTTGCATACCCTAAATAGTCTGCTGGACCACGTGGCATTTCTTTCCAGCCTTCGCCGCGCGCGCAAGGGGCCTGCTCCAGGCCCCTCTGGCCTCACGGTGGAAATCCTCCGTGTTGTCCTCGATGATGCCGACGCCTCCCAAGCATTTTCCGATGTCGCTTCCAAGCGTGTGCCCGCGTCCTTGACGACTTTGTGCCAGCCCTTAAGCTTGGGCGTGTCGTCGCGCTACGCGAGGTCTTGTGGTCGGCGACTTCTTGCGGTGCCTGGTCGCCCGCACGCCGGCACGACATTTTGCGGGCCCTGTTTGCAGTAGCGTGCCACCCGCACCAATACGCACTCCGAGACGGCAGCCCGGCACCATGCCCCGCCCCCCAAACCATATTTGCCGCAGCTCAGGCCCTGCCCTCTGGAGCCGAGCTGCATCTGAGCTGGGTCGTCCGGCAAATCGCCGCGGCCGGCGGCTACATCCACGCTGGAGCGCAGGAAGTCTGCCTGCAACTCTATGGGGGGCTCAGCTTTGCCGCAAACCTCGACCGCTACTCTGATGCCTTTCCTCGCGCCGACGAAGCCCCGGCCCCTCCTGCACCCGCCTGCCCGCCCAGCCAATACCGACCCGTACGGCAGTCTGACGGTGACGATGCCGTCGCAGACCGGTCTCAGGATGACGAGGTCGCTGCCGCTGTATCGGAGCGCGCTCCCGGCGCCGCCCAGCAACGGCGCTGGCGTGACGTCGTGGTCGCAGAGGCGGACACGGACATGGCACCCGGGAGCCCCCAGCACCCCATGCCGCGCCCCCTGCACCGACCGAAGTGCCGCAGACTCAGGCCGAGCAGCGTGTCAGCGCTGCCTCCTCAGGCGTGCGCCTCGGGCCCCAGCGCTTCGACGACATCAATCTCGCATCTGAGCGGCGCCGTCGGGCACTCACGCTCCAGGGCGCACCAACCCAGCTTATGGGCTTCCTCCGCTTCGCGCTTCCGACAGGGCTGGAGCATGCCGTTGCCACGTGCTGGCCCGGACGACCAGGCCCGCAAATGGGAAGCTGTTCTTCCTTGCGCCCCGCATGCTCCTGCATCGCGAGCCAGGCCAGACACGCATTGAGCCCGCCTAGCTCGAGCGGCGCGCCGAGGCCGCCTGCTCCTCCACGCCCGCGCAGCCCGCCTCGCGCCCGCCCGCGAAAGGGACCGACGTGGACCGCTGCGCTGCCCGCGCCAGTGCGCTCGTCCGCCTCGGCGAGCTCTCCGCAGCGAGCCGAGCACTCACGGCCGAACCGCTCGCCGACGGAAATGCAGCGACGCTCGCCGAACTCCGCGATCCCCGCCGCCGCCCCCAAACGCCATTTGTGCCGCTCAGCCCGGAGGTGCTCAACTACGTCCCCGCAGAACCGTGCCCCCTGCCAGACACGCTGCTGCTGGCCAACTTGCGCACAGCGCGACGGGGCTCGCCCGCAGGCCCATCAGGCATGACGAATGAGCACCTGCGTTTGATCTTGGACGACCCCTGCTCCATCAAGCCGCCCTCCGGTTCGCCAACGCCGCCGTGCCGGCGCCATGTCCTGGCAGCCGCACGGCTTGGGCGCATCGTCGCACTCCGGAAGCCGACCGGCCGACTGCGTGCCCTGGTAGTTGGGGACGTCTTTCGCCGCCTTGGTCGCCTTGGCCCAGCACTTCGCCGCAGCACTCCAGGTTGCCTGCATGCCCTATACCAGTTCGGCCTCAGCACGCGTGCGGGCACCGAGGCGCTCTACAAGCTCCTCCAGGTCGCCACTGAATGCAACTCTCGCACCACCGTCCTGTCGGTCGACGCTGTCGGGGCGTTCGACCATGTCTCCCGACAGGCCATGCTCGACGGCCTGCGCTCGCGACCTCAGCTAGCCC